CAAACAGTAAAAAATGATAAGCAAGTAAAGGGAATAACAGAATTTTGAGGCTATGAATGGGTGAAGTGGAGGCAGATAGATCTTATGATGAGATGTGTGCATGTAAAATCTGTTCATTTTTATCTAGAGTGTGTCCACAAAGTTGATGTGTTGGGAAAAAAGCAGGTAAGTGTTTCTGAAGAGAGATTTTGGCATAAAAATGATTGTGTGACTTGAGATGAAAAATATATTTTAGAGAGGAATGAGTAGTGACTGTTAGAAGTTTATACAAAACTTGAGTGTCTATATGAAAGTTCCATATGTTAGTGATGATGTCTAAGGCTTGTTGATCTGGGAGGAGGGTCTTTGAATTTTGGGAAATTCATCTCTGAGTATTTTGGCTATAAGAGGCTTTATGAACTAATTGTGGTTGTGTAGGTAAATATTGAGATGTGGGCAAAGTGTTTGGTGAAAAGGGAAGAAGGTGAGAGAAATATGGCTGCTGGGTAATCAATTTGTCCTGTGTCCACAAAGATATTAGCCTAAGAGATAGAGTCTGATGATGTTCAGTGTCCCTTATAGTGAATGACTGTTATTTGTTTTGGAAGTTATGTTGTTTCTAGCCGTTTGAGAATGAGAGGTGCATTAATGATGGGGCTCCCTTGAGTATTAATTGGATTTCTTTTTTGGTCAAATGCTATGAGAGTAGAGTATGTTAAATTTTGAGTCATGAAGATATTTTGGGTGACAGTGCCCCTTAGAGTCATTAACCCTGAGAGTCATTAACATAGTATATCTTGCCCTCTCTTGAGTGTGTGTGTTGGTTGTGTTTCCTCTATGAACTGTTTATCAGAAGCTATAGGGAGGGGAATACTGTTAATGGGAGAGAAGGTAGTAGGAGTCATTTGTAGGACCTCAGTATAATTGTGGATGGGGATCTCATCAGAGGTGGGAAACAAGGTGGCTGGGTTGAGGGAGCTGCTGGTGGAGACGATGACTGTAAGATCTTGTGTGAATATTAAGTGAAATTGTTGTAGATGAGAAGGTGTCATTAAAGCATAAAATGGGGCTGGGGATTTAGCTCAGCGGCATAAGCACCTGCTTTGCAAGCAGGCAGTTGTGAGTTCGATCCCCGATAAAAAGAAAAAAGAAAAAAAAGTGCATAAAGCATAAAATGTCTGTGTGAAATAAGTTCCTTGAGGCAATAAGGTGAGTGGATTGTACTTGATTGTTTTAAAGTGTATTCTTTGGCCTTGTGCGTTAGTGTAACTTCTGGGGCAAGTGATGGAAGGCAGGGAGACCAGTTCTGTATTGTGTCCAATTGTTTTGAAAGGTTGGTGATTGTTTGCAAAGAAGGTTCCTTTGTGTGTCCTAAAATTACCTACAGCATTATGATCTTGAGAGGTAGAAAGCTTGGGTTGGGTTAGAGAGAGTGAGCTCTGGGGCCATTGAAAGGACCTCTTAGTTTTGAAAATCAGTATTGTATAGGAATATCAGGGTTGAGAGGCTCTGATACAGATCGTTTGGACATCTTATAGAGAGGTTGGCCTAGTATAGCAAAGTTAGGAATCCATCCAACTCTGTGGCTGACCATCCTAAGCCAATCTTGTCATTTTTTATGCATTTGTATATCTCATTTTGTATCTGTTTTCTCTGGTAAAACACTGACCACTATAGTAGCAAAGTTAGGAATCCAGAGACCAAAGAAGTTTTCAAAACCTAGAAAAGACAAAACTTGTTTTGCAGTTGGCAACTGGAGATCATGGAGATGGGCTTTGTGGTGAGATTATAGAGAAAGTGGTGGGAATGAGAGCAAGACCTAGATATTTAAACTTTGGTGAAGCTGTTTGGGCTTTAGTAGGAGATACTCGGTACTTGAGATAAAGTTAAGAAAGGTATGCTGATGGTGAAAGCACTGGATGGAGAAGATCATCTATACATTGGGGAAGAGTGTTAGGTTTAAGACAGAGTCATGAGGTCAGTAGCAAGGGCTTAGCTGAACAAGTGTGGATCATCCCTGAAGCCTTGAGTTAGGGCTGTCTAGCTAAGCTACATAGATTGGAGACTGTCTGGATTTGTCCACGTAAAGACAAAGAAATCTTGGCAATTGGGGTGTAAGGGAATAGTGAAAAATGTATCTTTAGGGTCTTATGCAGAAAAATGAGAAGTATATGGAGGAATATGACACAGTATAGTATAAGGGCACCACAGGGTGAGTTGTCATTGCCACACTGTTAGTAGCTCTGAAATCTTTGACTAGGTGTTAGGAGCTGTAGGATTTGAGGACAGGGAGAATAAGACAAGTGGGTGACTTTTATAAAACGATTAGTTAACAAGCAACGGATTTAAGGTTTGAGCCCCTGTTGATGTTTAGGGGTTATTGGGTATTGAGGAATACAAGGGAAAACTGAGGGTTGCTTCAGGTAAGTTAGTACCAGAGTAATGTTGGTGACATGAGTGGGGTTGACAATGTTCCAGACTGTAATGTCAATGATGTGGAGAGGAAGGGGCTGATATAGCAGCACATGATGGTTGGGTTGGGAAAATAAGAACCATGTGAAAAGAGAGAAAGTACAAGAGAAATTGAATTAGGGAGCAGATTTTACAAAAAAGAGGTACAGGACAGGTTGGGAGAGTAAGATGGTTTTAAGGAAAAGGGTTTGGAATCTGCAGGGAATAGGTCTGTTTGGAGAGGTCATGTAGGTTTTCCATCAGATCTCATGACAGAGACTGTAGACCAGGAATGCCAGCCTGAAAACTCAGGAAGAACACTACAGTAAGGGGAGGGGGTGGTGAGGTAAGGAGGGGATGGTGATAGAGGAGTAGTGAGGGAAGGGGAAGTGGAGGAGAAGGTGGAGCAGAGGTGAACAAGTAGCACTTTTGGGTATGGTGTGGGTCAAGAGTGGAAGGCATATTGTCTGTAAGGTCAGCAGAATTGTCAGGTTTTGGCAGGGGTTTGGTAGTGTGTAGCAGGCCAAAAATATTAGTGCTATCCCACATAGCTGAATGAGGGAGGGGTACAACCTAATAGCAAAAAAGTCTTGAAGATAAGGAATCTGACCATTTGCCACCATGGTAGCAAAAACTATGTAAATCATGGAAGGTGACAGCCATTATCAAGCTTGTAATCAGGCCAAAGCCATCTGGCAGTAAAAGCTAATTCACGGGCTATAATGTGCCTCGAGACCAACAGTGAGTGCTTACTTGGAGACTGGGGTTTACAGAGTAACTATCTCAACGGGCACCCAAGTGGAGTGTCTTTTTCCAGGTGAGAAGTAACATTGCTCACAATTGTGAACAAATTGGAGGTGAGTTATAGGGCTAAAAACCAAGTCACACTCCCATAATGAGTCATTACCCCTTCAGGGAGTGTGAGTGAGAAAGAAAGTGATCCTCAAAACCTATGCCCAGCAGTGGTTACTGGTAGGACAAAGCCGGGAGGTCCAATAGGACATAGAGGCATCTGAATTTAGGCCTGTGATTTACAAGACAGGAGTCCTAAAGTGAAGAGTGGCTTGCCTGTTTGGACCTTCAATTACTGAAGTGGGTCAGTGGTGGATGGAAGCTACTAACAGCAACAGCGGAGACAGATGAGGAAAAAAGGCTCATTTAGGTGAAGGGGACTCAAAGCAAGGGTAGCCCCCAGAAGTTACACTTCTCACCTATCCAAGGTACCTCACCATCTGTTAAGATTTCGATGCAACAGAGAGACAAACAAAGGAGAAAAGGACTTTTATTACAGGCACAGGCGGGCCTCAGAAGAGATGCAAGCATCCTCAGGTGAGAACAAAAAATAGAAGTCTTTACCAAGTCTGACCAGAGGAGGAGTTTGGGAGGTGGGTACAATAACATTTTAACAGCTGGTTTAAAGGAGTGTCTACATGTGCAAAACAAGAAACAGGTTTACTGGTGGCTGGGGGTGGAGTTCCTCGTGGAGTTTGGGATTGGAGAGGGCTTGATGCACATGCAAAAGGGGAGTGGAAGCGTTTTTTCTGGATCTAGAAGAACACAGAAGTTACTCTTGGAGAGACACCCAGCTGGGTGAATGTCAAGTTAGAGATAGATAAGCCCAGCCTGACAGAATCTATCAGTTTTCTTCTTATGCACTGTCCAAGATTCCTATTCATAAATGGTTCGTTAATTGTAAATACAATAGACCTGCCCTCTTTACCTGATCACATTACTTGCTTTTCCTGTCTTACTTCTTTCAATGCATTTCTCATAATGTGAAATTATTCATTCATTTTATTATAATTTATTATTTTCCCTCACACTAAAATTTATATTTTGTGAACACAAACTCTGTTTGCCCAATAGAATTTGACAGAGATTTGAAGAATTGAAATAATGAAAAATAAGAATTACAGCATCCATTTTGTTTCAATTTTGAAAGAAAAACTATAAAACTCAAGTGAAAGAAATATGGCAAAATACACTCTAGGTGCCAGAGAAGCACCCTTGCTTGTTTTCTGCAACAAGCAGCCAGTTTCTATGAAACATTAGGGTATACATTTCTGTTTTTACATATTTATTCCTGCCAGAAATCAAGGCAAATTGCAGCCATTCTGACACCAGTTTTCCCTTGATATTTTATTTACATGTAATTTTCTGTACTCTGAATCCCAAATTATATTCCATGAAAGTTTATATATACTACATTCCTGCATGATGAAAACTCTCTGACTTTGTATAAAACTGAAGGCCAATGAATCAAGCCTCAAGACAAAAATGTCAATGGACAGCAACCATCATGACATTAATGCTCCATAAACACAGTAATATTTCAGTAAAATCCATTCAAATGACCTCTAACTTATTTCATATTTATAAATATGTGTTCAACTTATGAAATATCAAGCAAGCAAATAAACCATTTCTAAACAGTAAATAGTCAAAAGCCATAGGATTTAATTTAAGATCAATCAAACAGCCAAAAAAGCAAATGTCCCAGAACATGTATATGACTTCATATAAGTATATGACTGCATATAAATGTCAGAATTCATAAATTTCAGACTTACCAAATTTTGAAAAGTTTTGAGTGGTATGTTGATCAGCATTAGTTTCCAGGGCTCCTCAAAGTTATCTGGGATAGGCATGTAATTATAATATGCTACAAAGATTCCCACAATCAGAAGGTACAGTGACTTTCTACCCATGATGCAACCTCTATGCTTCTACCTCAGAAACAGGGAGTGAAGTCTTCCTAGGCTTGCCTTAATAATGGGCGTTATAGCTGGTATGCCATAACTACCCCCCTTTGCTTTATCTTTATAGTTTAGAGTTACTTCTTAGGGTTGCCAGAGTAAGGTTAAAATTTAATTGCTTACCCAGAAATAATCAGTGATCATGAGTTCAAAGTTCAATTTGTGATAGAAACTTGGAGAAGTTCTCTAAATTCTCATACTCTTTTGTTTCCCCTTTAAAATTTTAGTATCTTTAATTCTAGAATATTTATGCACAGAAATCATCCACATGACATAGTTTTGTGAAACAGTGCAACATGAAAATCAGAAACGTATAAACATGTTTTTACAATGTACTAAGAGTAAAGATAGCAAAATGAAACAAAAACTATTATCTCTGGCCCTACAGAATTTACTTAATCATTCAAGAAATAGACGTTTTACTGCTTCTTATGATTATTATTGATAGAGTTAAAAAGATGTGAAAGTAGTAAAGGGATTAGTAGTAGCAAATGCTACTAACTATTCTATGAGGCAGGCCTTATGCTAGGTGATTTTCATAATAAATCTAAATAAGTCAAAATAATAACTCTATCACATCAATACTGTTATTCTTCCATAAAGGAATAAAATGAGTTTCAATAGGTTAAAGAAACTTGACCAAATTTATATAGTTTTTCATACACAACCAGAAAAATTTAGGCAGCTAAATAGTATTTATAAATTTTAAAAATACTTGTATTTCCACAAGGGCTTTGTGTGCGTATGTGTGGGGGGTGTATGTGTTTGTGTGTGCTGTACAATAGAAATACAAAGAAGAAATACTGTATTATGTTCTTACACTGGAAAGATCAACAATGTTTTTTCTTTCACATTTTTGCTATATTAGAACATTCCCCACTTGACACTTGAAATTAAACCATTTGATGAAGGAGTCCTGATTTCCTTTAGAAGGAAGTGAAAGTGAAGAGAAATTTAGGAACTTGTTATACTTATGCTGTTGCACCCCAAAAACGAGTCCCCAAAATGTTGTTCAAAATAAGGCAAGATGTCTTTGAAGAAAAAGAAGTGCTTTACTTTGGCTGGTATCCACCGATGCAGGAAGCAGTGGAGACTGACAAGCTCTTCAGGCCGAGATATTAGGGGCACAGCTTTTATGGGCCAAAACCACAAAACAGGGTAGGAGTCTGGGGAGTTCTACAAGGAACATCTGGAGTACAATGATCTCAGAAAAACAGGGCATTGGGCTAGGTGCAGAATGTTTCTATGATAAAAATGGTGGGGGAGGTACAAGGCTGGTGGTTAACTTATCGTTATAAGCCCAGCTAAGAAGGAACAGAAAAAAGGGGGTTGGCGATGCATACAGAACAGGAACATGGTATGGAGTGATCTGTAAAAAATTACAAGTTATAACTTCTTTCGTTGCAAGGAGTCAAATTTTTGACTCTTGATTTTATTCCCTAGTTATAAATTCATATCCTTGGTTTCTTAAAATCATCAATTTAACGGATTACATTTTTCCATGAGAATATGAGACTAATTTGTTGATTACACAAGGTCCAATAATTACTAGTAGGAGGAGTATTAGTAAGGGGCCTGCTGCTGCAGTCAAGCGGGTGATCAGTCGGGGTAAGAATGAGACCGTCATTCAAACCAATTCTGACTAGTGAGAACAGCTTGTTCCCTTTTTTGAATCTCATTTTCAATGTTGCTAGATTTTGTCTAATAACACCTGAATGATTCATGTACAGGCTGCAAGTTTCACTTAGAGCTAGGAAAAGGCCCCCTTCCTTAAAGAAAAGGAGATCTAGTCCTTGTCTGTTCTGCAAAACCATTTCAGCTAGTGAGCTCAAAGAATCTTTTAATTTTTTTGTAATATCTCCCAAGCAGGTCAGGTCCTGATTTATTAAGCTTGTCAAATGTTGATAGTTTTGTTCTCCCCGTACAAGACTGGTCACGCATAGTCTCATAGATACAGCTATACTAGCAACCAAAAGGATAGGGAGGAGAATGTGGGGGTTACCCTAAAAAGATGGACCAAGTCACTTCTGAGGAGAATGTGGCTTTGGCCATTTTCTCCTGAGTGCCAATAAACCTGTGGTAGAATGTGCACTAAGAGACATAATTCTGGTTCTGGGTGGGGTGAGGGGAGAATATTGAGAACATGGCACAGAACATAATCCCTGAAGTACAGGCAAACTAGTTTCCATTAGGTGCTCTTAAATGTTGGTTCACTGGATAAGAGCTGTTGTGTATTTGTTCTGAGAATCGGGACTTGCAAAAGGATGAATAGAGAGAAGTGGGGAGAGGATAAGAGGCAGAATAAATGCAAGTACCAAGTTCACCTTGGACATCAGCCAAGGAGAGTAGGGGGCTAGTATCTTCATTCCACCCGCAACAAGGGTCATCTTTACTTGAGTTATTGATATCTGTCACCTTAATGGTAATAGGAATTTCTGTATAAAATGGGGGATGAGAATGCAGGCATAGCCAGCAGTCATTAGTGAGACTGGGGTTACTAGGGTTAACATATTGAAAGGCTATATCTAAAGGCAAAAAAGGGTCCGGAGAGAGGGGATCAGACATCTAGAGCACCGGGCCAGTAGTAGCAAGCGTATTAATGGCAGGAGTCGAGGCAGACTCTTTAACAGTTGGGCAGAGAGGAGGCCTTAAAGCTAGGGTTCCTATAGGGTAAGCAGATGATTGGCAGTGGGGACTAGGGACAAACTGGATGGTAAAGGAAATTGCCTGGGTTATATCCACTGACCCACAACCTAATACCATAATGTAATTCTGTCTTCCATTTGAGCTAATGGGATGTTTTATCATGAAGGTCATGGGATTACATTGATTCAATTGGCAGGAAGTGGGGGTCTCATAGATTAATTGAGGTGCTCATCTGTATAGTTATACATCTCCAGGCATAACAAAAGAATTCAGTACTGTCAGCATAGGAGCAGTAATTGGTGTTGGATGAATCAACAACTCCACCATGGAATTGGAGCTGAGGACAGAGATACCAACTGATGGATTGTAATTTCTTTTGGCTATTTAAGTCTCTGCAGGGCCAGATTGGTTTTCCTTTCATTAAAAGTCGATCATATTGCATGGCATGCTGACCTAATGATATTTTTTTTTACGTCTAATGCTTGTTGGGATGTTATTCAACAGGGCACATAAATCTATTTTAATTGTTCCATGAATGGTGGAATTGGCTGCCAGTGGTTCACCTGTGTTATAATCAGTTATTTTCCAATTCCCATAATAGGGGTTATGCTGGGGCTTGAGAAGTGAAACTGAAAGGGTCAAGCAGAATAGAATATATAGCCACATCAAGCACATGTGGTGATTCTAACCTTTAAGGGGTCCTTGGAGGGGGTTACAGTCCACTTATTTGTAAGTTGATCCTCTGAGGGAGGTGCTGGCTTGATGCGGGAATGATGAATCCAGGCAGTCTTTTCAGTGACCTTGATGGCAGTTGGGGTGCTAAGGACTATGGTGTAGAGGCCTTCCCAGAGAGGCTCAAATGATTCTCAATGGTACCTTTTTATGAGGACCAGTGCTTCTGGTTCTGCGATCGGTTGCTGATCCCTAGGTGGGATCACCTCAGGCAGAGGGTGCTGCTGCCAAAACAACCAATGGATGGACACCAGGGCTGGCTGGAGGGCCTGGAGGGACTTAATAAGATCCTGATTAGTCATTTCTGCTAGTTTTTCCTAAGAGATTTTACAAATAAAAGGAGGGGGTCTTCCACATAGAGCTTTAAGAGGGGAAATCCTTGCAACATAGGGAGTACAACGTGCACACAAGAGAGCAAAAGGAAGGAGAATCACCCAGTTTTTGCCAGTTTCTAAGGCCATTTTGGTTATTACAGTCTTTAGGGTCTGGTTCATCTTTTTTACTTGCCCTGATCTTTGAGGTCAGTAGGCCCATTGGAGCTTCCAATTAATCTGTGAAACCTGAGCTAATTTTTGAGTTATTTGAGCTATAACCTTTCCCTTATCCATGGGGTGCCGGTCGAACCCCATGGATAAGGGAAGGCCAAATTGAGGAACAACTTCATATAAAAGCTTTTTAACTGCAATCAGTGCTGACTCTGATCTAGTGGGGAAAGCCTCAGTCCAGCTGATGAAGGTTTCAACCATTACCAACAAATACTTGTGTCTGTGGAGCCCAAGTTTTTCCATTTTAGTAAAGTCTACTTCCCAACGTTTTCCAGGCATAGCTCCTCTATAATGGGTGTTCTCTGTTTGCTGAGATCACTTAGGACTTACTAGCTGGCATTGTGGGCACCTTGAGCTTATTGACTGGGCAAGCCTTGACAACTGAGGAACAAAGAACCTGTCTCGAAATAAGGCAGCCAGTTTGTATCCTCCCAGATGAGTTGATTGATGAGCCTGTCAAAGTAGTTCCTGTCCTAAGGCCTTTGGAAGGAGAACTTGTTTAGCAGGCAGTTGACACCAGCCTCGTGGGATACTAGGTTTTGCTTGAAGTTGTGTTGCCAGATGCAAGTCCTCTTGAGTGCACACAGGTTCTAACAGGGTAGGTGGAATCATCAACAATGTTGAGGTTGTTTCAATCCCCACTGATTTTGTGGCTGCTTCCTGAGCAGTAACATCTGCCAAATTGTTCCCACATGTAATGGGACCTTCTGCCTTTTGGTGGGCCTTCCAATGGATAATGGCCACTTTCCTTGCTAGCCAAACAGCAGGCAACAAGTCCAGTATCTGGGGAGCATTTTTGATCTTTTGGCCCCCTGAAGTTAGTAAGCTCCCTTCCTGATAAGTGGACCCAGGAACATGAGCAGAGGTAAATGCACACCTGCTATTAGTGTAGATGTTTATGTCCTTTTCTTCTTCCAACTTTAGGGCCTCAGTCAGTGCTATGAGTTCAGCCTTCTGAGCTGAGGTGCCGGGTTCTAGAGTTTGTTCCCATAGAACCTGAGAGTCCGTGGTAACAGTAGCTCCTGCAACCCGCTTACCTTGATGGATATAACTGCTCCAATCCGAAAAATAGGAGGGGGCTACGGGTAGGGCTTCATCTGTAAAGTCAGGTTGAAGTTCTATGAGGTGCTCTGTAACCTTAGTGAAATCATGAAGAGGCAAAGT